GCGTGAACCCCCACCTGACCATGAAGAGGCAAGAGCACGGACCTACAAGGATTTCGACTTAAACTTGACTTGGGGTTTGTAGCAGCACCAGTCAAAGCCCAGGCAGGTCATGGTAGACTCTCCTCCTTGGGTATATCCGTTGTCATTTTTAGAGGAATGTTGACAATCCTCTTGGCATCACCCTAACCCCAATTCTCCCCCAGTGTTTGTACATATGTCACCATCTCCTGACCTCTGGATTTTATCCTGTGAGTCTGTGCCATTTATATGTTAAGTTGAGGATTCAGAGAGAGAGACAAATATCCGCAAATGAAATATGTTGAGGTAGGGATGGAATGTGTAAAATCAGCTGTTGAGTGATTGTTTTTAATATAATTTTTCCCATTTTGAAAACTTATACCTAAAGACCTCTAGCTCTTTCTGCCCTTTTAGTCAAATCTCCCCAAAGTTCTTTTGGTCTGTAGTGACCCTTGTCTTCCTTTCCTTCACCCTTTTTTTTTTTTTTTAAGTTGTGATGATTAAGAAAATGGAAAGGACATGTGTGAATTGAGTAAACTGGCCGTTCTCCCTTTTGGCCCCAATAGCACCTGGATTAGTTCTACCAGCAGACAGGTTTCTTTGCTAAAAGTGTCCTTTTGAAGCAATTAAGAGCTGGTAAAAATGTTTCCTTGTTGTTGCCAGGTTACCTTCTACTTCTAAACTGCCATCTTGTCAGGTATGTGTGGTTTTTAAGTCCAGGGAGATCAGCTTTGACATGAAGCTTGCATTTGTGTGGGATACAGTTTTTACCATAGGCCTGAGCTTTCTCCTGTTCCTAAAATGTGTCAAAAGAGTGAATTGGGTGTGACCCTGCCTCCTAGCTGGCCTTGGCTGTTAAGGACCAGAAGCTGGCAGGTCTAGGACAAGACTGACAATCAAAGCAGACTCTTGCGGGGTCCTCCTTGGGGGGACCACTGCTTTCAAAGCCATCCGCCGAGGCTCTTCCAGGGCAGCACCCGATTGTTGGGAGGGGTGAGTGTTGAGAAGTCTTGGGAGAGGCCTAAGAGCCATTCTAGCAGAATCCGAGAAAATCTTCCTGCAAGGACCAGAAATCTTGACATTCTCTTTCAAGTCCCACAACTTGTCCAGTCTCTGAGAAGGTCCCAGCCTTTCTCAAATATTCTGATTTTCAAAACATGCGTCCAAAGTGGGAGGCCCCGGAGACATTTTGCTGACTTCCAGAAGCAAAAGACCCACCCTGAAAAGCTTCCCTTCCTCCCCTCTTCTCCTTTCTCACACACCCCACTCATGCCCTCTCCACAGTCGTGCTCTAGCTGCCACCCTGGGAAGTCCTGTGCCTTTTTCCCCTGAAAGCTGCCCAAAGCATCCTCTTCCCATCTGTGTGTCAGGAGCTGGGGACTTTGCTAGGAGACTTTTAAGTGTTCCTTACTGGGACAGGGTGGAGCCACGTTGCAGGAACTCCATTCTTATCCCTTCTGNTCCACAGTCGTGCTCTAGCTGCTGCCCTGGGAAGTCCTGTGCCTTTTTCCCCTGAAAGCTGCCCAAAGCATCCTCTTCCCATCTGTGTGTCAGGAGCTGGGGACTTTGCTAGGAGACTTTTAAGTGTTCCTTACTGGGACAGGGTGGAGCCACGTTGCAGGAACTCCATTCTTATCCCTTCTGGTGTTGACTTAAGCTCTTGTGTGCAGGGGCTAATTCATGTCCCTGATCCCCACCTTCTATTACATAAATGAAGTCCATCCCCTTTTTCTAGAGTAACAGGAGTAAGGAAAGGGGGTGGAGGCTCTTATGAGCTGCCAAATTTCCATGTGTGAGAGGAAGGTGACCTGAACCTTTCCACTCCAGCCTTTTCTTCTCAATCCCACCTCCCTTAGCCCTTTCACCCGAGCTGTCCAAGTTAGGAAGAGCAAAGACACAAACTCCTCCACGTGGCATCGCTGCATAATCCATCATTGTACCTGACTTCCAGAAGCAAAAGACCCACCCTGAAAAGCTTCCCTTCCTCCCCTCTTCTCCTTTCTCACACACCCCACTCATGCCCTCTCCACAGTCGTGCTCTAGCTGCTGCCCTGGGAAGTCCTGTGCCTTTTTCCCCTGAAAGCTGCCCAAAGCATCCTCTTCCCATCTGTGTGTCAGGAGCTGGGGACTTTGCTAGGAGACTTTTAAGTGTTCCTTACTGGGACAGGGTGGAGCCACGTTGCAGGAACTCCATTCTTATCCCTTCTGGTGTTGACTTAAGCTCTTGTGTGCAGGGGCTAATTCATGTCCCTGATCCCCACCTTCTATTACATAAATGAAGTCCATCCCCTTTTTCTAGAGTAACAGGAGTAAGGAAAGGGGGTGGAGGCTCTTATGAGCTGCCAAATTTCCATGTGTGAGAGGAAGGTGACCTGAACCTTTCCACTCCAGCCTTTTCTTCTCAATCCCACCTCCCTTAGCCCTTTCACCCGAGCTGTCCAAGTTAGGAAGAGCAAAGACACAAACTCCTCCACGTGGCATCGCTGCATAATCCATCATTGTACGAAACAGCTAAACAAATTCGATTTTGGCTTTGCAAAGGGTACATGCTTCGGAATCTTTTTTCTGTCTTAAATACTGATGGGGGAAAGAACAGCTCACCCATACATATTTATTAAGTACATTGGAAGATTTAATCCTGTCAGATCTTTTATTACCTCAAGATCATTCTTAAAAGCAAGCCAATAACAAGCTCTGGAGGCTGTTTTGCCGTTCCTATTCCCAGAAGACTCTCACGGTGCCTGGCAGGTTACTCTTGAGGGATTGTGTCTACTTTCTTAAAAGTCAACGGTTTTCTTGTGTTCCGTAGTAGGAGAGAAAATATAGACATATTATGCAAAAACATATAGTTTTCTTTAGATCAGAAACTAATTTTGAGTCAGCCATATGTATTTTGTTTAAAGGATTTGACATAAAGTGCCGTCTCGTAACCCTGTGGAAGGGAGAGCATGACCAGCTGCTTGACATGACCAGTGACGTAGTATATTTGTAACTGGTTTTAAAACCAATACACCATACTTCTTTTCTCCAAACAGCCATCTTTATACTTAGGGGGGAAAAACTGTTGGGTTCTAGACTTTTTTAATATAAATTTTGTTGATATGGAATTGAGTAAGTTTAAGTGTTTATGTGCATATGTTTTTTATATAACATTTTTTCTATTCAGTTTCAGTGATCCAACCGGCAGTGAGTAAATATGGCATAAGTTAATAATGCTTTTCCCCAAAATGGTGCTTTTGATTTGAAAAGTGTCTGATGGGGAGAAGGAGAAAATATCATCCTGGATTCTTCTCTTGATAAACCTAGAAAAACGGGTAGTAAACCACAGATAGTAAGTAAAACATCCAGCAAGAAGGGACACAGCTGTCAGGAAATGAATGTGTCCCTCCCCCCCCCTCCCCTGCCCTTCCCCTCCCCCATGGAAATAGATTGACAGGCTCTTCTGTAACTAGTGATTAGGATCAGAGGCCTTCAGTGCATTTGTGATTCGTGGATAAAAGCTGGCACAGTACCAAAAACGTTAATATCTCCTAGTCTGTAAGGATACTCTGATTTGAGCTTTGCATTTTCAAGGTTCTTTCACTTCCTGTTCTGCTTAGAGTTCTCCACTAGTGAGTTTTTGTGCAAGGATCTGATTTGTGACTCCTTCTTTCCCCTAAAAAGATTGTGTGCAGTATATTAGTTGGGGAACAGAGCTCTAAATGGAAAAAACAATGGCTGTTCCTAGCCCTGGGTGACAGTCTTGGGGAGAGATCCTTCTCATAGGTGTCTTCCGTCCTCTGAAATGACTCTCCCATCTCTAAAGGTGTTAACAGAGAAATCACCTAGAAATCCCTCTGGACACCTGTAGATTCATTAGGGTTTGGGTTTCTTCTTCCCCTTGAGCTTCAGAGGGGAGAGTTTACACAGTTAAATCTGAGTGATTACCCCATTGCTGAAAACCCAGAGGGGTGTGGCAAACTCACATGTGCCATGTGCCGAACAGAAAACCTCCAAATGCATTCCTTCCTTTCTTTCCTGCTTCCCTTGCCTTCGACTGAAGCAGCCCATGGTACCATCACAATGTGCACATGGCCTTGCCTTTCGTATTGAGGGCCCCCCCCCACTGCATTGGTAGGGTGGCCACTTATAAATGCCTGCTATTCTTAAGCCATTCCAGCCTCTTCCTCAGAATAGATCAGATACCCTTCCATTTAGTGCCAGTCCTTTTGTCTTCCCAACCCTGCTCTTAGGACTGCTGTCCCCCTTCCTCTTGATTAGGAGAGATGGAGGCAGATGAGCTCCCTGTAACTGAATTGGCCCCTGGTTTATGTTTTCTCCCCATATGTATATATGCCATATGTGAATATGCCATATATATGTGCCAACAAATCTATCTACATTGTTCTTTTCAGATCAGCACACACATAGGAATTTTAAGTTTCTTCTTTTTTTCAGTAACTAGTATAATAAGCACTGGTATTTTTGTACAAAAAGGAAAAACAAAACAAAAGATTGACTATTGTGGTCTGCATGACATAAACAAACAAATGGTGATATCAAAGCAGTTACCCCCGTGTGTGTGGCCGTAATTTACAATTCAGCTTAACAGTGCACCCAATCTGTATTTGCATTTTGATATTATTTAAGCTCTATGTACAATGTTTTGCATGTATTTATACGGTTCTTAGAAAAAAAAATGCTATAAACTGGCAAATTTGAAATGTAAATGTATTATTCCACTGAGATGGAAAGAATAGGAGTTTTAAAAGGGATAATTTTTTGGAACCAATAAAGCTTTTTGCTGATGAGCAGAAACCAATACTGCCGTGCACTGAGAATAAAAGCCCATGCCCACTTGTAACAGTGCTGTCCTCAGTGTGTCTCCATTTTTGCGAAGTGCCATTGGTTGTCCATTCAAGTTGAGGAAGGACCTGCCACGGCCACGTCGAGAACCTCATCTGAGCAAGCGCAAAGTTCGTCTTGTCGCTGGACCCGGACACACTTCCCTTCTGGTGGCTCATGGCCCTGGTTGCAAGTTTCATTCCCTTGTAGTACAAGCTTTGCTCTGCCCACCTTGGTCAGAATCCAAAGTCCAGCAACTACGAAAGATGGAGATTTTGGAAGGATAAGAAAGAAGCAGTCTTGGCGGTCCTTTCTTTTTTCTTTTCTTTCTTTCTTTCTTTTTTTTTTTTAATGAAATACCTTTTATGAAAATTGGTTCCCCTTATATTAGCTACTTTTCCCTCTGGGGTTCTCCACCACCCCTCTCCCCACCCATAGCTTTTTTTTTTTTTTTTTTAATTTTTCCATTCATTGAGTCTCTCAATGACTGATATTAGGCCCCAGTTTCAAGTCAGAACAGCTTCCTGGCAGGTCACGTACATTCTGAGCTTTCATATCTCAG